AAACGTCAAAATCCTAGATCAGTAAAAAGAACATCAAAAACAAAACTAACCCAAAAATAATCAAAAACTCAAATCTGTAAGCCAAATCGAACAAAAAAACCTTAGATTTTTAATCAAAACCGAATCAAAAACTCGGATCTACAACATAATTCAAATAAACCCAGATTTAAAAAAAAATAATAATAAAATCCGGATAAAGATCTGAACCGATTTGAACCATTTAAAAGTAATCACTTTATGCTTGAGAAACAATGAGCAATTCAAAGTTGTCCAAGTTATGCTTTGCTTAAAACATATTACATATTTCTGTACGTGTTTAAATATTATTTTTGTGGTCATTCACAAAAACTTTATCGTGGTGTATTGGTTCCGTGCGTGTGTTGCTTGCAGCTGCTCGCGAGTTCGAATACGGCAAGTTAATTTTTTTTTTTAATTAAGTTTTAGTGAATGGCAAATGACAAAATTATCCCATCTTCAACCTCTCAAAAACAAGATCTGAAAACCCTAAAACGCCGCCACCTCAATTTTTTTTTTTTTGCAATTTTCATCAATTTTCTTGTTTTCTCTACCATTTAAAGCAAAATATATTAGATATATCTTATATCTTTTAATTTTATGTTTTGAAACGAACAAATCTTTTCAGTTTTTTTGAATTTTCCGATTTCTAATCAAAATCACCATGATCGCGACGTTTGTGTGCCGCTGCTGAGCACTTTTCCGGCGCGGAACAAAAATTTTCTCAGTGACCGGCCATTCAACGACTATTAGCTTCGTCGATTTCTTCAACACGAATCAGATGCTCATATTTTGGCTCCGGTAAATTCTGAATCTTTCACATGTCAGTTTCGATGAGGAATCAAATCCGAGATTTGTTCTAAACGAAGTAAAGAATCAGAATTGAGGAGGACATGCTTTGAGAAGCAGATTGAGAGCATGAATCTGTGAACGAAAACCATACTTTGGATGAAAGCTGAGCGAGATTAACGAGAGATATAAAAATTTTCAGAACTTGAGTTGTTAAAGAGAAGGACTGATGAGATACTCCTAAGATCCGCACTCTTTA